TTTTGTATTTTTAGTAGAGACGGGGTTTCACCATGTTGACCAGGATGGTCTCGATCTCTTGACCTCGTGATCCACCTGCCTTGGCCCCCCAAAGTGCTGGGATTACAGGTGCGAGCCACCATGCCCAGCCCCCCTCACTCTTTTCTAAGGAAAGAGAAGTGAGAGAAGTGATGAAGGGAGAAGAAATTGATCATTCCTGGTTCAGTGTCCCTCTCTCTCTCTCTCTCTCTCTTTTCCCCCATGATATGGTTTGTCTGTGTCCCCACCCAAATCTCTTCTTAAATTGTAGCCCCCATAATTCCCATGTATCATGAGGGGGACCTGGTGGGAGGTAATTGAATTATGGAGGTGAGTCTTTCCTATGCTCTTCTCATGATAGTGAATAAGTCTCATGAGATCTGATGGTTTTATAAAGGGCAGTTCCCCTACACACGCTCTCTTGCCTGCTGCCATGTAAGACGTGCCTATGCTCCTCCTTCAACTTCTGTCACGATTGTGAGGCCTCCCCAGCCATGTGGAACTGTGAGTCAATTAAACCTTTTTCCTTTATAAATTACCCAGTCTCAGGTATGTCTTTATTAGCAGTGTGAGAACAGACTAATTCTCTAATATTCTCTCTCTCTCTCTCTCTCTCTCTCTCTCTCTCTCTCTCTTCCCCCCACCCAACCTCTCTCTCCTACTACCGTCTCTGAATTCTGTTGCCCTCTGAAGGGACTCCACTCTACCCCACTCTAACCCTGATTCTTTCTAGAAAGCACGCCTAGTTTGGGGCCTCTCTGTTACCACCTGTGGGACTTGATGATTAGAAGAGAGCAATTTCCTTGCAGCTTCCCAGGTATGGGTCTGTTTTATAGACTCTGTTTGAGGTGGGAGAAGGAAGGGGACAGAAAACATAAGAAGTAGCCTGAGTGTGGCCACAATCCTAATCAGCATCTCCAACCCAAGTCTAGCAACAACAGGGCTGATGTGCACATGGACCTTACCCAGGTAGTTCTAAACTCATCAAGAAAGAGAGAGGTTTCAGTTTTTGAACCCTCATGTGCCCCACAAACCACTAATGACAATTGAATCTTACAAGTTACTTTCTCAGCTGGGCATAGTGGCCTGTAATCCCAGCACTTTGGGAGGCCAAGGCCAATGGATTGCTTGACCCCAGGAGTTCAAGACCAGCCTGGGCAACATAACATCTTTTGTAAAGATCTCATCTTTACAAAAACCCCAAAAATTAGCCAGGCATGGTGGTGTGCACCTGTAGTCTCAACTACTTGGGAGGCTAAGGTGAGATTACTTGAGCCTGGGAGGTCAAGGCTACAGTGAGCTGAGATGGCACCTGGGCAACAGAGCAAGACCCTGTCTAAAAAAAAATGGAATGTTGGTGAATTTATATCTTGCACCCACCCTTGTGTGCATGTGTGTGAGTGTATGTGTGCACATGCACCCACACAGATGTGTGATCATGTGCCCTCTTTCTTCCTGTGCTAACTTTGTCCTCTGAAGCCCAACAAACTGAGAAGGTGGCTGCTCTCAAGTAACAAAGAATTGTTTTCAGCAGCCCTGCTGCCCTGTTATGTAAAGTATCAGGCAGTTCACCCCTCTCCATGGAGTTAAGCCTTTGGTGATCCTGGGAATGGCTGAGCAGAAATGTTAAAAGCTTTCCGTGCACTGGTAAAGCCCAATAGTTAAGTCAGACAAGCTGGAGCCAACAGTTCTAACTACTTGTTAACCTTGGGAAAGCAGCTTCTTGCTTTGTTTCCCAGAGCAGGGTTTTGGACAATTATTATCATGACCGCATATTTTCATGGTGCTTCCAAAAATTGCCCATAATACTCAAATGTATCATTAGAGATTTATTTTTTAGAGCTTTTTTCTATTTTTTAAAAGACTAAGAAAAAAATTTTTCAGTTATTCAGCGTTTTAGTCACGATAGAGTTGAGAGCAAGGATTATAATTGATTAAAATGATAGAATTCTGAAAATCAAATTTTCCAAAGCTGGTTATATTTCTGAAAAATTGAATGTTCAGCAAATGAGTCAGGGTAGGCTAACTGCTATAACAATCCATAAATGTCAGTGGGTTAACATAATCCTGGTTTATTTCATGCTCATGTCATCCCTGTAGAAAGGGTGGTTTTAGTCATATTCATTCAGGGACACTGCCTACTGGCTCCTCCATCCCCTAGGACCTCAAAGTTCTCCACTAGATCTTCTGCATCTAGTGGTCAGAAAAAGAAAGCAAGTGGGAACTCAGAGGAGCTGGAAAGATTGGGGTTTATAGGTGGGTCAGGCCCAAAGTTGGCAAAAATCACCTCTCTTTCCATTGGTTGGAAATGCAGTGAAGTGGCAAAAGGATGGCAACACCTCATGTGAAGTGTTACGTCTTTGGTTCAGTGTAGACTCATATGTCTGGAGAGTTAAATTCCAAACATGACTTCGGCAAAGGAGAGTAACTAGGTTGTTATCTTCCCCACTACACAGTGCTCTTCATTTGCTTCTAGAAATAAATAGGGATGTGCTAGTAGCATGCTATGTGTTTAAAAACACTTCTTTTATTGAGACATAATTCACATGCCATAAAATTCACCATTTTAAAGTGTAAAATTCAGTGGGTTTTAGTACATTTACAAAGTTGTGCAGCCATCACTAATAACTCTAGAACACTTTCATCATCTCAAAAAGAAGCTCCCATTTTTCCTTAACCTATCCAACCCAGTCCCAGGCAATCACTCTGTCTCTCTAGATTGGCCTGTTTTGGACATTTCATAAACAAGTCTATACATGTTAATATAGATTCTTGCAATATTTGTCCTTTGTGTCTGACATCTTTTGCCTAATATGTTTTTAGTGTTTATCTGTGTTGTAGCATGTGTTAGTACTTCACTGAATAATATTCCATTATGTGCCTATATCACATTTTGTTTCTCCATTCATCAGCTGGTGAACATTTGGGATTTTCTACTTTATGGTTATTATGAGTCATGCTGCTATGAACATCTGTGGACAAGTTTTAATGTGGATGCATGTTTTCATTTCTCTTGGGTATATACCTAGGAGTGGAACTGCTGGGTGATACAGTAACTCTATGTTTAATTTTTTGAGGATCTGCTAGACTGTTTTTCAGAGTGGTTGCACCTTTTTATATTCCCATCAGCAGCATATGAGTGTTCCAGTTTCCCTGCTTCATCACCAATACTTTTTATTGTTCCTCTATTTGATTATAACTGCCCCAGTGAATCATGTTATATATTTGATGAACTCTCATACACGTAGCTAAATATGCATTTTAAGCCAATTCTTTAAAACAATCCCTGGAGACATAACATACTTGTAAAAGGTTTCTAGTAGTGATTTCTTAAAGGATCAGAAGTCTGTTGAGGCATTGCTCTGTAGGATCTGGCTCCAGAAACCATAGTTGTTT